CCAGTTCTTTTGAGACCACCTTAAGTGTTCTTTGAGCAGTTATGGTGCCTATATACAGCAAGGCCACGGGAGATTTCTGCAGGGACTCAGAATCTTCTCAGCATGGAGGAAAATGAGTTAGCTTATAAAATGTTCTATGCCTTCATTGCAAAAGTGAAAATAGGAAGAAGTTCTCAAACTAAGATTTCATTAATATAGGGTACTCCCAGGTTAAGGAAGCTCCTTCTTCCAATGCAGTATAATCTCTTATAGTTTTAGAAAGTTGTATAGACTTAGAGAAATTAAGTGACTTGATAGGATGGCATAGCTGTATGTGTCTGAGACAAGATTTAAACCCAGGCTTCCCTGGTAATGGAGAAGGTTCCCCACCCATTATACCATATTGCCTTTCTATGTGCCAATACTGACCAAAAAATACTTCCTCATTCATAGATATGACTTGAGAAAGAGAATTTTATGTATCAGATATTGTGGGAATACTACTGTATTTTAATTTACTTTAACAAATGTAGTCGAACTGAGTTCAAACAAGTTATCAGCATTGATTATAGGAGCAGAAATGAGGTCCTAATTAATGTACGGCCAGATTGGGACTCCATGGTACTGAGAGAGGGAAAAGTGGGTAGTTGCTGGTGTCTGATCAGGTAGCTTCTCTCTACTCCTCTGCTTTTACTACAATGAGGCATCTGTGGAAAATATATATATATATATATATATGTGTGTGTGTGTGTGTGTATTTATGTGTGTATATGTATATGTATATACATATGTGTGTGTGTATTTATGTGTGTATATGTATATATATATGTGTGTGTGTGTGTTTATGTGTGTATATGTATATATATGTATATATAACAGTCTAGAGGGAAAGGGATGGGATTCAAGGGGATAAGGAAATGAATAAATGGTTGGTATATGGTGAAAGGTGATAGATGCCAAGACCCATCTTGGTATGGAAAGGGTTTGAGTAAGGTGATTGAGTCAGTGGTTGTGGGGAACTATCATTAATTGGCATGAGAAGAGTTAAGTGAGCACTAGGAAAGAGCCAGAGGGTCTTGGAGGCATGGCAACAGTTGGCCTCCTCCTTATCACTCCCCAGCTCACCCAATGGTGGTTCCCTATTATCTCCAGGACCATATATAACATACAGCCTGGTTTTTAAAGCCCTTCACAACCTAAGTCCTTCCTACCTTTCCAGTTGTCTTGTGCTTTATTCCCTCTGAGTACTCTCTGATCCAGTAACACTGCTGTTCCTCTTACCTCATAGTCCACCTCTCTACCTCTTTCTGGGTTGTCCCCCATGCCTGGAATACTCTTGCTTCTTGTCGCCTACTCTCCCCCTACTGCCTTTCCTGCTGTTGTACTTAATGAAAAAGTTTACCTATTAAAATTCGTTAACACTTTATTTTTCCTCCCTATACTTCACCCAGATATAAAGGATCATGGACTTAGAGGTGAAAGAGATCTTGGTGGGCATTTAGATCAACCCCTTCATCTTACAGGCTCAGAGAAGCTGCCAAAGTCATAGAATACTAAGTGACAGAGCTGGGATTTGAAGCCCTGGCCTCTACCTCTTAGTCCCCAGTACTTTCTCCTGTACCATGCTGTCTTTCATTTTTGCAGTAACCTGACATAAGCTCAGTATGACTATTCCTTCTTGTCCTCTATACCACATGACCCCACCTGTGATTTTTGGAATGTGTCAGTCCAGGATCACCTGAACACTGGCTTGTGTGAAGTGCCTGAATCCTTGTTGGTGCTCAGTCCATGAATTCATAAAGCATGAATGAGTAACAATCACAATTATATAACTCTCTTGGGTGTTCAGAAATTATTGAGTTCAGATCCCACATTCAACACTATCTTCACTTTGTCCATTAGACTAGAGACAGACTCATGGACTGATGCTGGGGATGGGAATAAGGCTGAAAGGTGTGGTATGGACCACAGGCATCATACCATAGAGACACAGCATATTAGCACTGGTACTTTAAAGCTTTACGGTTATAATTTGGTCTGATGAGTGATCACTGAGCAAATGAAGGGTTGTATATTACGGTGGATCTGGGTGACTTTCTAAGAAATTCAACTGTGTCAGCAAGCAAGCTAGTTAGCTTCCAACCTACTAGTAACTCATAACATGAAACATCAGCTGCCTTCCCCTCCATAGACCATGGAGAGAGATGATTCTGCAAAATGGGGGCATGGGCCATTCACCACATTCTCATGAACAAAGCCCCTCATTGAGGGGCTTGACGTAGAGACACCAGAACAACAATGCTTCAAGACACTAATACATTCATACAGGTAGGCTAAGAGAGCAAAAGATGATATGGGGCATAGATTGGATGCTATGGTCACCATGGAAAGTACTCACTTTTTCAGATCATCCTGCTTCTTTTTTTTTTGGTTGTGCACACCACTGGTGCTTAAGCAGGGAAGCGTCCACATGGGTGTATCAAGTAATAAAAATGTGCATTCAACTGAGAAGTAGCTGAGTAACAGCTGTCACTGAATCAATTTGTCTTGAAAAAAAACACCTAGCACAACAGGTGCTGAAAATGTTTATGAATAGGTGCTCTCATGTTGCCAATTCATAAACGAGACAGCATGCAATAAGAATAGGATGCATGAAAGAAAGCAGTCGAGAACCCTCATGCAGCAATGCTTTAACCGATTGTCAAAAACATACAGCAACGATAGACAGACATTAAAGGAGGAAATTGACATTTACTCTTTCCTGAATGAAAGAACAGGACAATCATCACTTTGGACAAAACATTTTGTCAAGATCGTGGGAAAAGTAAGTCACTTTGGAAATTTAAAAAGGATAACTGGAAATCATGTAATTACTTTAGAAAAATTCTTGTTCAGGCAAAAGAGAAAGGGAGCTCACGACCAGTGCATGTTCTGAAACATGGGCATATGGTGACCAGACACACTGCTACAGAATAGAACTAGCAGCAATCTGCTGGATCAGATATGCCAATTTACATGGCTCTTGGATATCTGAGACCCCCAATGTATCTATTCACCCCTGCCACTCATGTGGCAGTCTCATGAGCAGCTGGGGATGAAACTGGCTAGATATTTTGACTGAGATGATTCTGCAAAGGTCGTATAGACTCAGAGGAACTCTGCCAGGCATCTAACGGATGCAAAATGGAAAGTGGGTGGAATAATCAGAGTTTGGAAAAGTTGATAAATACCAAGCAACTGCATCAACATGTTCTGTGCGTCATTGAAATGAAGCTTCTCTATTTTGTAGATTAAAACCACACACACACACACACACACACACACACACACACACACACACACACTCTCTCTCTCTCTCATAAACCTAACAGCTCTGAAAATATAAAATTCAGCCAAAGCTCCTTGGCTCTCTTTAACAGACGTTTTTCTCACCCAATTTGGATGTAACGTGTCATTATAATTTTCATTACTTACAACATAATGTTGAGGATAAAACAAAGCCACATATGTTTTTAGCAGCTGGAAAAAAAGATTTGCTGATGGAATAAAGTGAGTTGCTAAAATGTAGCTTTGGGCGTAAATGCCTTCTCTAAGGGTCTTCATGTGGCATATTGACTCCAGGCATGCCTTGTTAAGTGAACGAAATCATTGTATCGACTGGATTTAGAAAAAATGAAACGTGGAACATAATATTGTAAGCTACATTATGCATTTAATGCAAATAAAATTTTAATTTCATTTTAGAAATAAAAACTGGCATGTCAGCACCCCAAACTGAGGGTGGATGACTTTGTATGTCCTTTTTTGTTGGAGGTGGTAGGGGTATTTAGGTCTGTGATTTCATTAGGGCGGGAAGCTCTCCAAGTGAAAACTTACTCCAAGGAGGCAGATTGGCACCCACTTCTTTAATTTGAATCAAAGACCCATGGAATCATAGATTTAGAGCTGGATGGGACCTTGGGTCATCTAGTCCAACCCCCTCATTTTTACAGATGAGGAAACTGAGTTCCAGAGAGTCTGACAACTTGCTCAAGGTCTCCCGGGGAGTAAGAGGCATACCTTGGATTTGAAACTAGGTTCTCTGGTTCCAAACCAAATGCTTTCTCTACTGTATTGCAGAATCTTAGAAGGTCCTCTGAAAGCATGGAGAATTTAATGACTTGCCCTTGCTAATACAGCTCATATATGTCAGAGGCAAGATTTGAACTCAGGTCTCACTGATTTCAAGGCCAGCCCTCAATGCCCTATTCTGTGCCACCTCTCTTATATATACAGATATGTATTAATTTTGCAGGGTGATTCAAAAGGCCGGCTGCCTCCCACACACTATCAGAGAGCCCCTGCACATATGCCCAAATTTGCTTCTTATAATTAAGTTCCAACAAATACAAAAAATGGCCCCGTTATGCTTATAGACTAAATAGTACTAATGATATCAAGGTCACCACACAGGCAAAAGACTGACAAACAATTTCTGGCAAGTGGTCTTTTGGATCACCCTTCAAAGTTAGTTATCCATAACAATATGTGTATACATATGTTTGCGATGCACATATTCACAACATGGATATATTTAACATTTAAGAAAATCAGTTTAGAAAATCTACTGGCAAACTGACATATGTCCATGGGCTCTATGTCAAATAACTTTGTAAATTAGAATTTGTGTTTAGGTTTCTTTTTATTTAAAAGTATTATTAAGTGAATGGTTATCCATTTTTCAAAGGTTCTTTTTTCATACTTCTTCATAATGAAGCAACATTTGTTATATTTGTATGTATACATATATTTTTAAAAATAACAACTAAGATTGAGTAATGAAAATTAATATCCACAATTAAGTACTAAATTGTATTTTCTTTCCCTCCCCCCAATTTTCCATTTTATAATTGTTTCAGTGAAAACTGTCTGTATTTTTTTGATTGGTTCAAAAGAGTGAATGTTTCTCCACTAGTTAAAAACCAGTCTTTGATCAATTAACATATGTCAGCTTCCTACTGGAACCCTATTGGTCTGCCCACCTGTGATGTCATAGTAAGGAGGGGCTTTTCTTCAGCAGACTCCTCCCTCGGTATCTCCTTCATCACCATGGCAACAGCCTTATCGGCTGCCCTAGAGCTTTTCCCCTATAACAGTGAAACCAACAATGACTTGGGTCAGGAGGAAAGGTGAACTTGTTATTTGTTACAAGAAACTCTAACTGGTTAAAGAACAATCCACAACATAAATGAAGAGAAAGATGGTAGAAGGAAGTCTTGAGGCTCTTGGCTGAGAACAAAATACACAAAAATACTGGAAAGGAGATTTATGAACATCTAGTTAGTGTTTACAACTTTACCACGGACATTATATATGTTTTATTTAATCTTAACATCATGTTTTATATTTGTCATCTTTTAAATGCAATTTTCATGGTATAAACAATAATTTAGAAATCCCTCCCTTATGTCACATCTTCCCTGGTAGAATGCAAGCTCTTTGAAGGTTGGGGTTATTTCTGTCATTGCATACCGATTGCCTAGGGTAGTGCCTGGAACACTGTAGGTGCTCAATAAATACTTGTTGATTGAATGATAATGGTACATCCAATTTGAGGTGAAGAATAGGATTGAACTACTCCAGAAGGCACATGTCCAAGGGACCACATTGTGGGTAGCAAACACTCTAATTCGCCTTGGGTAGAGTGGAAAATGAATGGTGATTTCATAATATTCCTATTTGCCCAGCCTGCTGTGGAGTGTTAGTCTGACCATAGATCTCTTTCTTGACTATCAAGATGTCTGAGACCAAGAAATTAAAAATGAATTAAAAAGCTGTCATTCTTTTTTTTTTTTTAAATGTCATTCTTAAGGAATATTTTAAATTCAGACATGAGCCAAAGAATGGTAAATGGGTGAATTAGCAACTACTGTCCCCAAAGACAATACTAGTAGACTAACTTATCGCAATTCCATAGAGTAAAAAGATGGCAGGACTTCATATCTTCCCCAATACCCTACTGGTGAATTTGAAAAGTTGAAGTTTCTTATCATTAAAGGCAATGGGAAACTTGAAAAACTCTCAATCTGTTCAAAACTCAATTTGCTAAGAATTTAGATGTCTCTCAGGTGACGTGAAAATTAAATGATCTTTCAAATCTTTTACCAAAAGAAAATAAACTTTACTTTTTAAGGTGTGTTTTGCAATGCTTATTTTCTCATCACCTTATCTAAACAAGGGTTTTCCTGGGGAAGGGGAATTTGACCCTAAGAATGCATCTAATGGTTTGCCTTGGCAGTGTACTGAAAAAATGAAAATGAGGTTCACAGGGACACTTTAGTATCTTGTCCATGGTAGATTAATGAACATGATGGAATTTTGATGGCCAGTATCTGAAAAGGGCAAAGGGTCAGTGTTAATCTGGAAGGCCAAGACTATTTTGACAACCACAAAACAACAAAGGGAGACAGAATTGTAGACATTCTTCTACTAGGGTACAAATATGGCTTCCAAAGTGTATCTGATTGAATAAGGTCTCCATTTAGAAGGTAACCCCCCCTTCTTTTTTTTGTTTAAAGAAACTATCTAATTTTCTTACCCTTTTCCTTTATAAAATTTAAAAGCTAGTAATTTATCTCTGAGAACAATTATATATTCTCTTCTCTGCGAGACTAAATTTTAGAATGTGTAAAATTGCCTAAAATGCTAGAGATTTTTCTTTAAGAATCTAGAATGCTTAAAGGCAAATGTCCCTTTGTTTCCAGAATCTGAGTTTGGGATTTCAGAAATTTCCCCAACCTTCTCAATGGCAGCCATCTTCATAGACATTCTGATTGCAATGGCCCATAGTTCTTGACCTATGTATGATTAAACACCTGAGTGCATTATTATACAGGAGTTCTTCTAGCTTGGAACAGTATTAATGCTTTATATAGGACTATACATAACTCCATGTTTTGTGAAAAGATTTCTTATGTCATTACCAAAACCATATAACATTTAATTACTGATGTGAAAATTAGTTTGCTGACACATTCACCCTAAAAGCATATAGAACCATTAGAGGCCAAAGACATCTACAAGTTAAATACTTGACATGACACAGTCTTTGTAGTTTATGTTCCCAAAGAGCACAATCCACCCATGAAGATTTCTTTCCATGCTCCCAGAAGTTTTGGACAATAGAGGCATGCTCGAGTCTGAGTTCCTTTTTCTATCCAAAGAAATAAGACCTACTATAACCAGTGTAATTAAAATAAATCAAATTAAAAAAAACTCAAGAGTTTCATTTCTTGGGCTAAGAGAATATAACATCAATTGGTCAGCATTTCAAAGATTCTAAGTCTAACCTTCAGAATATATGGCTTATTTGAAATGCTACCAATCCATAAACTTTTTTTTAATTAAAAATATATGTGCAACTGGAGTAGCTGGGATTAGCAACTGACATGCTATTTTACTAAAGAAAAGAAAGAAATAAAAATTAGTCCTTTCATGCTGAACTCTAGAACAAAGCAGTGATCAGCGAGAAAGGATGTATCGGAAACACATGCGGTGCTGTTTATTTCTTGCACAGTAGAAAAAACCCACCAAGGCCAGAGTCAGGTCACTTTTTTGAAGACAGTGCCACTTTTTCTTCAAGGTTACACCTACTACCTGGAAAGAGTCATGACACCCACGTTAGAGCTTACGGTGAACTTTTCCACCCTCTCATAAGCACTTTGGCATCTGAACGGACCCCAAATCTTATTGTGTTGGGAAGTGTGGCTACAGTCAGAGGACAGAATTGTAAATGCTGCAAAAATGACAGCCTGTGGTTCCAGCTATAGCTCCCATTTCCCATCAGCCACTACCAATTCAAATGGGCTTTATTTGTACATCAAAGGAAAATTCCTTCCCCCCTCTGACCCCAGGGCCTGCCACCTCCACTTGGTGTCTTCAAAAACAAGTAGTGCTCTTTCTGAATCTCCCTGTCATCCCTAACGAGTGACTCCAGCTCTCAAAGCCTCACTGATGACGCTTTAGGGATTCCTGAGGCAGTACAGTTGGCCTATCAGCAATTGGGCTGTCAGGAACCCGGCCAGTTTGTTTTTTTTTTTTTTCAAATCAATGGGATATGGCTTCAAACTTGGGAGGAACACATGCGTGCCATGACAATGCAGATTTCAAACTCATTTTTCTGAATATAACCACACTTAGAGGTCAGTATTGCTTAATGCTCTATTGTTTGTATTAGCATGATAACAACCAAATATACACTAAATATACTTTCATGCATGTAAGCGAATTTAGATTCCGTAAGTCTCATTTCTTTCTACATGACTTTTCACAAGGGAGAAATTAATCATCATGTCGTGATACTCTCCAGATACCGTTTCAGGTTGTTCTTTCATCATTTATCATTTGTGAAGGTTTCAATTCAAAGTTGAATTTAAGGAATCCTTTTGGATATTTGGACAATGACATCAACAACAAAATGGGAAAGTTCCATTTTATTCCTTTGGGTTTGTAACTAACAAGTCTGATTTTTATAGGAGCTCATGCTTTTCCTGAAGGCCACATTTCAGGTTTACGAGATACTTATGAGGGCAAGTGGGTTTATGGGTAATTTGCACACACCCAGACAGCAAATAAATTATGCAAGGCAAGAGCTCTGATAATAAACACTAAGCCTTAGAACAGTTCCTTCCCATCAACTTACGGTTTTAATGGCAAACATATTAATATGATGTAATTTGTGCAGAATGAGACATGAAGATCTATCAAGAAAACTATTTCCTCATCTCTTCTGGTCCTACCCTCTATATAGAATTTGAGCCCAAATAACACAGCCTTGTATCCTCTTAGGAGCTGAGGCCAAGACAACCTGATTAGTAGCTCCCAATGGTGACGCATATGGTTTTTCAGGTAAGAATTATTTGACATAGTTGTATTCAGGGGCCACTACTGGCCAAAAGCTAACACCCAGGGGCAGTTTGGTGGTTTGGGACTTGGAGTCAGAAGACCTGATAAGTTCAAATCCTACTTCAAACACTAGCTATGCGGCCTTGGGCAAGTCATTAACCTCTCAGCATCAGTTTCTTCTACTGTAAATGGGGATAATAGCACATACCTCATAGGGTAGTTGTGAGGTTGTGAGGGAAAAAAACCCCATATATAAAATGCCTTGCAAACCTTAAAGCTTTCTACAAATGCTATGAATAATAATAATGATAACAATGAAAGCCACAAGTAGTGCTGATCCACAAGCCAAAAATACCAGTCACCTAACCTTGTGAGAATGCTTGTGTGTCTGTACCCATTAAATGTTTCTAGTTGTCTACGTGATAACTTTGATGTTTGGGCAGTAAACTTTTTTTCAGAATGTCAGAACACATGGGTTCAAAGGAAATGCAAAGTTTTTGAAAAGTGCTTTCTTTGCCCAATCTGGTCCTGTCAATAAGCAAATACCACCCATAGCCTATAGACTGGGACATAGCACACAGTTTTTTTGTCCTTGTCATGGAAAAATTGCTCAAGTATCCCAAACCGGCAAGGTATCCTAGATCATTAGACTTGGAAGGGACCTCAGCACCACCTAGCCCAGTTTATATCAATTCATGGTTGAATAAGAATTCCCTCTGTGATGCAGGAAAGTCATCTAGCCTTTGCTTGAAAATGTAAAACAAAACAAAACAAAACAAAAAAACCTTTCAATTTACAGATGAGTAAACTGAGGCTCGGAGAAGTTAAATAACTTGCCCATAGTCACATCGTTAATAAGTCAGAGATGGGATTTGAACCCAAGGTTTCCCTTCTCCAAGCCCAGCACTTTATTTACTATGCTGTATTGCCTTTCCTTAAGCTTAAGTCTTTTTTTTTGAAAACTCCTTAAAAATTCTATAAGATGAATGTTTAATGCATTAAAATTCTTCCTAAAAACTTTGCACAAATAAAGATCTCCCAAGGGCCACATGGAATTAGAAAAGGAGCAGGCAGATTCAGAGATAATTTACATAAACTGGATAGAATAATCACAGAATCAGGCAAATGGAAGGGACCTCCGAGGCCATTTAATCCAAAATAGTACCTGAACAAGAATCCTCTCTCCAACTTCCCTGACAAATTGTCCTGCAGCCTTTGCTTAAAGACCTCCAGGGAAAAAAGGCACACTAGATCGGAGGCAAAGATGCTTGGTTTGAATACCTTCGATTGACAAGTCACCTTAGCTAAGCAAGTCACATGGCCCCACTTTCCAAAAACAATGGGGTTGGACCACACAGCTTCAAATGACCCTGCAACCCTATGTGTTGGATACTCAAGGGAGCCTGTGACTTCTAAGGACTCAGGATAGTTGTTTCTCATATTAAGCCTAAATCTGCCTTTTAATTCTCAGGCAATTTTCCAATTACAGACTTTATTATTACTTCCATGATGGCTACCATTTCTTAATTTTTTACGTCTATTATAATTTATCCACGTCCTTTCAATTTAACATCTATGTATATGTGCATGTATGTGTATATGCATATAAGAAATATGTATATACATATATATGAAATCACGTCTGGGCTCTTTCCATCTCTTTGTCTCTGTCTCTGTCTCTATTTCTCAATTTCATCTTCTCTCTGTCTCTCTCTCTTTCCTCCCTCCCTCCCTCCCTCTCTTCCTCTGCATACATACATACATACATGCATACATGTGTCTATATTGCCATGAAGAGGGAGATAGAATTATGTTATGAGGTAAAGGAGGGGACATCTGAAATCTTTATCCAGCAACTCATTAATGACCCTGGGAACAGAGTTTTGAGAATCTTTCAATATGCAGCACCTAAACATTTCAAAGGAAAAAAACCCTTGGTATTACTCATCCTGCATGTGTGTATAGGTATGCATATATATGTATATACACACCCCTGAGAGATGAGCTATACTAAGTGTCCATCTGCTTTATGAAAGGCAGCTTCAGGTCATTGATAGAGGAGGTCTGACCTTGGAGTCCAGAAGACTTGGTTCTTTCACATATTGGCTTTGTGATCATCAGTCAGTCAATCAATCAGTGTATCACCATTTATTAAGTACCTACTGTGTGCCAGATCCTGTACTGAGTACTGGCTATGGAAGATACTTTTACCCCTCAGAGCTTCAGGGGCCCATAGGAATTTCTTCTCTGCATAAGTGGAGAAAGTTTCCCCTCTGGGTATTACCCACCCCTGTGAAATTACAGGTTCAGACAAAGTGGGGGAAAAAGCATATTAAGGCAATAAAAAGGGAACTGGCTTTGAAATCAGAGAGGTGGGTTCAGATTCTACTTCTATTGCTTATTACTGTGCGACTATGAAGTCATTTTACCTCCTTAACCTCAGTTTCCTCACCTATACAATGGAGAATGAATGGTCTCTGAGGTGCTTCCCAATTCTAGATCTTGATTTTCTGTATTTACATATACACATAGGCTAATGACATTCAGAGCTAGAAGGGATTTTGGAGAACTTCTACAGATAAGGAAACTCAAGCCATGTAAGTTTTAGTGACTAGCCCAAGGTCACCCATTTAGTAAGTAGCAGAATTGTCCTGGACCTCTGACTCTAAATCGAATACACTTTCCATGTTGCCTTTTCAATGTATTTTCATTTTTAGAAAATTCACTGTTTCTTTTTTTATGACTGCATCTCTATTTTTAGGCCTTGACCAGAGAAAGAGGGAGGAAGAGTCCTTTGTCTCAGACATTGAGGGAATCCTACTTGTGTCCTGCACTAAATGAGGTACAGCAAGGATGATCTCTAGTGAGGCTTACATTCTTTTGTAGGCAGAGATTGGATCATCTTCCTTTACCTGGGAGAGTAAATGTCAGAAGAAGTTGTGCCCTCTTCAAATTGTACCAATGCACTAAAATGTCACAATTTTAAGCTCTTTACAAGATCTATTGGAAACAGGAATTTACTCACTTTCATTTTGCGTTCTTTCTGCAGAATAATGTGTCCTTGTGGGTGCATTGGAACATAGAGCCTTATCTCTGGATTAAGTAATTCTTGTTATCTATGTGTAACTTCAGGAATAAATGCTGTTGTTTTTTCCCCCAAAAGAAAGTTTATAAGGTATCCCTTGAGGATATATACCAGAGTTGTAACCAGGATGGAGACAACTGGGGTAGAAATTTGGAGGGCATTCTCTGGCAACATTTTTGTGGCCTTGTGCATCTTAGAAATAGTGGAGTTAGCACCCAGTTAGAAACAATAATGAGGAGCACGAGGTCCTAAGTTTAGAGCCGCAAGAGGTCTCAGAGGCCATTTACTCCAAGCCCCTCGTTTTATACACAGATACAACATCTGGGCATCATCCTTCGACTCTGAAGTCAGTGCTCTTAGAATTGGAAGCTCCAGGAGCTTTTGCCTCCTCCCTGTCCACATCTCTGAACTCCCTGTTCCCACGGGGTCCCCCAGTGGCATTCCAAGGTGCAAGCCTGTCAGTGACTTGCGGTCTTTTCCAGTAGATTTAGAGCTAGAAGGGAGCTTAGAGACCATTTTATAGATGAGCAACCTGAGGCATAGAAGGTTAACTCTCTTGCCTAGGGTCACACAGCTAATAAATATTTGTAGGTGGGCTTCCAACTCAGCTCTATCCACTTTTGCCACCCAATTGCCTTCTTAAGGGAACTTATTTCACAGGCATGAC